ATTTGAAATGGCTTCAATCCTCATTTACCAATGTGTACCAGACCAGTACCAGATGCACGTTCTACTCTCTGACTGACACACACACACACACACACACACACAGTTATTTATCTATACTTTTCAAGGTATTGTATTGAAGTTAGAAATTCCAGTACTGTGACAACAGAGTCTATATAAAACTGTGGAAATGCAAATTCTCACTCAGTGGTGGAATGTAACTATGTACATTTACTCAAGTACTGTACTTAAGTAGTTCCATTTTATGCTACTTTATACTTCTACTCCACTATATTATGAAATGAAATATCGCATTCGTTACCACACTACATGTATTTTACTTTGTTAATTTGTACATAAATAAAAAAACAGTATGATATGCTAATTGCTGTATGATATGATGCAGTACTTTACTACCAATCTAAACAGTAGAAGCAAATACAGTTGGCTCCACTTTGAAAAACTGTGTAAACTGTATGTAATCGTTAGTGATGAAAACAGAATATAATTTTTATAATGATACAACACTGTGAAAGGAGCCATTCTGCATAATGAGTAATTGTACTTTTGAATGCACTAAGTACATATTTCTGATAATACTTCCGTACTTTTACTTAACATTCTCAGCACCTTTATTTGTATTTGAATATTCTCGGTATTTCTTCCACCACTGAACTTAACTATGAACCTGAAGACCTTTAACGGTTTAAGAGGCTCTTCTCTGTTCCACATTTACCATTAACCCATATTAAATATCAATAGGGTTTCAATGTTGTACAGATTCAAACTTAAAAGAAGAGCTCTAAGAGCTAGAGTATATATAATATACATAGAAAATGTGTCTTGTTTTATATGTGCGACAACGTGACATACACCAGTTGACGGTCACCTAGCCCAACTCTGGCTGTGAACCTTCACCTAGATTCCTCTCCTAGCGAATGACAGAGACATACATGCAGGGTCACGGGAGTCAAACAGGATCAGAGCTGTCTGCTGTCGATTAAGTATTTGAAGTGACGTTTACACCAAAAAACACATTACTGACACGATCTAATCAGCAAAACGATGAAGCTGGAAGCAAAATCCAAGCTAGTAAAGCTACTTGTTAGCCTAACGTTAACGTTTTCATTCAGTCGTGATCTATATTCCGCTACGCTTGAGGTGAAGACACGCATTAGCTGTGTTCGCACCATGTCTTTTCTCTTCCTAATTGTAATAGCGATAGCTGTATTAAAGTTTACCTGTATTTGAGATATGTCTTTGACGACACCAGTTAGTCAGACGATGGGACAGCCTCAGCAGCGCCGGACTACGCTTTCAAGGACCCACCAGTGTGTTAGCAGACCTAGATAACGCCTGAAGTAAAAAAACCACAATCAACAAACGAATAGTCACATACCTACTTGTGTTTAAGAACTCCATTGATTGTACATTATAATACCATCATAATGATTCATTTAGCTTTTCTCAAATTAAAGATAGCAATTTGAGTACAAACAACAACATTTTATGCTACGGCAATATTTCAGAGCGTTTTGAGGTCCTTACCCTGTTACCGACACTCAACGCTTGATACTCATGCTGCGTAATCCACTTAATTCAAATGTTAACAGGTGAGAAAGAGGACCTAATTAGCATGTAATGGTCAGTGGAGGAAGAATTGCTCAGATATTTTACTGTAGCATTACTACAGACTCTGCCATGCATTCAAATTCTTACTTAAGTGAACGTACAAAAGTATTAGCATAAAAATATACTTGAAGTACAAAAAATATAATTTATCGTTGTGCAGAATTACCTATTTCAGAATATTGTGTATTATTGTTATTAATGTTATTAATGTATTGATGTGGTAAAGGTGGAGCTTATTTGAATATTAATTTATATGTTGTTGGATAATGTAACTAATACATATATCATAATATACATTTGGAAAGTAACTAGCAACCAAAGCTATCAAATACTAATATAGTAAAATGTGCAATATTCACAATAAGTGGTCTAAAAGTATAAAATGGAAAAAACACAAGTAAAAAAGTAAAGTAAATTGTACAGAATACTTGGTTACATTCCACCACATTTGCTTAAACAATTAGTTAATTCATAAATGAAAAAAATGAAATACACAAAAATAATCTGCAACAATTTACATAATTGATTAATCGTTGAAGTCAACTGTCAAGCAAAAATGCCATTCTCTGTTTCCAGTTTGTCAAATATGAGTTTTTGCTGTTTTTGTCTGTTTTATATCATTATAAATTGAGGGTCCCAAAAGTAGGCCATGGGTCATTCTTGCTTCTTCCGTATGTGAGGGCATTCAGGGTCCTCTGTCTCTCTCTCTGTTTCTTAGATCTTCATCATTGGCAGGTAAATAGGAGCTTGATAGTGATTGGTCGATCTAATATGCACCTTTTTTACAGGCCATTTTAGTAAAAGTTAGACATTATTAAGTTTGTGTGGTCTTCCTCTAATGTGAAAGGCTTTAAGATGTTAAGGGAGGTGAGTTATACTGCCCCCTGAAACATGTAGTAGTCTTCCCTTCTCTAACATCTTTAGTCAAATTGAGCTCAGCTTAGCCTGTGTTTGCATCGTCAGCATGATTAAACAACTGACTTAGTTATGTTTACATGCAGGGTTAATGGTATAATGTTAATCCGGCAGAAATTAACATAATACAATACCGGTAGCCCTCCGCCTGATGGCCTCTCATCTTTTTTACTCTCCATCAAGCTCGAACACGTGTCAGCTATACGAGCTCAGGGATGATGTGGCAGTTGTGCGACTCAACGATCCAAAAGCCAAGATGTGTGTGTGTGTGGGTGTGTTTATGGAAGAGAGTAAGAGACAGTACGTACATGTTAGAGAGAGAGAGATTATGTTTCTGACAGTCTTGACTTCCTGTCTCAGTCTCTCCCTGACAGGTGTGACATGATTAATCAGAGTACGTGCATTTGTGTGTGTGTGTGTTCGTGTGTACGCAGGTGAACAAACTGTCGTGCCGGATGCAGTCAGAGCTGGCGGAGGTGATGGGGGAGATCTGGTCGAACGGTGCTGTGAAAAAGGGCCGTCTTAATCTCCACCTTCATCTGAGGTGATGAAGGACTAAGATTTGACCACTTACTCCCGATTCTGTGTCTTCTGTACCAAATCGCCACAAATAGCAAAGAAATGATCCTAGGTACACCGGAGGTCAAGCTGGGACTGCGGCCTGAAGCAGGCGGCACTCAGAGACTGCCTGAAACGGTTCACACACACTCAATAATCAGTTAATCATTTAATGTCTTGAAAGCACTGTCACCATCTTTTGTTAGAGACTACTGAGTTACACTGGAGTATATTAAGGCCAGGAGCCTCACTTGGGATGGGATATCAGCTCACAATATCTGCAACTCGCTTGTTGCACGTGTAATAATACATGTGTGTGTGTGTGTGTGTGAGTAGAGCGTTGGACATTATGCTGACAGGAGCATCCGGGCAAATAAAACCAAGAAGATGGGTCTAGTGCACCAGCTTGTGGACCCTCTGGGTATCTTCTGCAAGTGGCATTTTTCTCCATCGCTGTACTACACTGCTGTAATGTTCTGCGGTGTGCTCCTCCAGGCGAGGGTGAAAGGGAATTAAACTCTGTGTTTGTTTACTCCAGGTCCTGGTATACTGAAGTGTGCAGAGGAGAGGACTGTTGAATACCTCGAGGAAGTTCAAATCATATGTTTGAAGGTAATATTCCACAGCTTTTATCAAAACACATTTGATACCCCGAGAACAGACACGCAGGAAACGCAAAAACAAGAGCGAATACTGGAGAGCTTAAATTCATCTTTAACAAGACCCAGTGGGGGGGAAGTAAGTACATGTACTCAAGTACTGTACATAGACATCTGAAACTTGACAAGGGGCCCCAACCAGACACTTCTTTTTTGTAAGAGGTCACATTTGATTTTTTTTCTTCTTTTTTTTTTTACAATCGATTGTATTTTATAAGAGTTTTTTATGTAAAATTTTAATCTGAAAAAGAACCAGTAACTACACCTGTCAGATAATTGAAAAAGTATTCTATTTACTCATAAAGGAGTATTAAAGTAGCATACAAGTAAAATACTGTGACCTCTTTGTTTGGTGGAAACTTCAGATGAATGGTTTAACATGTCCATTTAACATCAAAACAATCCACTGAGAGGTTTATGAATCTGAAAGGGAAACTGACTCATCGACAGCCATCATAATAAATAGCTATCTCTATGTACAAAAGGTAAAGCATAAATTAATTTAAAAAAGAGACAAAACTGTAGAGCCAAGTCCTCTGAATTGAGGTAGTGGAGGCTTTTACCAGACACACGATAACACACTAATAACTTCACATTTATGTCTTTTTTTGGGTTCCCTGTTTTATTTTGTCACTCACATCTACCTCTCGTTTCAAATATCTTCACCTGGCCTTGTGTGATTACCTTTCCCTACCCTGATCAGCTTCACCTGTTCCCAATCACCCCTCCTCCTCCCTATAGAGTATTTAGTCTGTGTGCTCCCAGTTGTCTCAGTCCCTCATTGTCTAACGGTCCAGCAATGTGACCTTGGTTGACTGGTTTTTGACTCAGACTGCCTTTTTCTTCACCCCCTGTTGTAGATGTGTCTACCTGTACTGGCCTACCTGTGTACTCGGGAACCTCTGCCAGTGAAGACTGTGTTTTAAACTGTCCTGGTCTCGAGTCGTGCTTTTGAGTACTTACCTCAGTGGTGGCTTCGGCCCTAACAGTCTATAAGTTGTTAACGGTTCCATCAAAGAAACATTTCCCATTTAACTTTTCACATGGTTTCAATCATACAAATGTTTGGATATAAATGTATGAATGAATGTTAATTTATCTTGTGACGTTCTAAACAAGACTAAACTACTGACATCAACTGTTTATAAAGCTGTTTATATTCAGCCTGTGATATGAAGTAGTTAAAACTAGCATACACTTTGATGCGTCTGTATTTGCAATCTAATAATGTCATTGCAAGTAGTCTAAGTTTTGATATTTTAAGTACATTTGACTGATTGTACTTCTGCGCTTTTATTTAAATAAGAAATTGAATTCAGGACTTTTGCTTGTACTGGAGTATTTTGCATTGTTGTATTAGTACTTTCACATACGTGAAGGATCAGAGTACCTCTTCCACCCACTGCTTACCTGCAGCATCACCTTTTCACCATTTGTAGGATTGCTAGCTAAACCAAGGCGAAGTAATACATTTGATCACTGTTACTGTAAGAGACACAAAAACGACATTGTAAACATTTTATTCCCTCGTAAAAACAAGAAAAAATTGTACTTGTATTGTATTTCTAGTTGTATTTGTACCTTTGAATCAGATGCATATCTCTATACTTAGATACTTAAGATGTTTACTTCTACTTCTATTGAGAGTTCAGTGGCCGTGGACCTGTCTGTCCTTTGTAATTTCTCCTTTATGTCTGCTGACAGACAGTGTTGTGGCTGCTACTACGCACGGCTAAATTGCTTGTCGCACTGCCCATGTCTCTGATAGCAAACTGATCTGGGATACTGTTCTATTTGATCATTTTCTTTTCAATGCAGTAACCGTGGTACTGTATCCGGCCTCATGTGCAATAACCCTCACAACCTGCTGTCTGCCTTCAAGAGGGCGAGCAGCTGGGACAAAGCATGATGAAGTGATGTTAGCTTCTGGTATCAGTCAGCACGACTCATATACATTATATTGAGTATAGTTTGTGGTTTCCATATCAACAAGTCAGTTCCTGGTACGCATATTCCAGACGTAATTACCTTTCTATTTATTCTGCGTTCTCTTCTTTTATTTCTTCATTGCTCTTCTCACAGCGGCCTTGCAGTTACGTGATCTCAGAGAGTACATCAATTTCAAGGTGGAGTAGACCAAGGAGGAGTAAAGTGTGTGTGTGGGGGGGGAGTAGGAGAATCTTGGCAGCCTTTGACGTGGATGCAGTCTATCAAATTTATTATGGAATTATGACGCAACAGCAGCTGGCAACAAGAGAATCACAAGAACTAATAGACAAATTGACTTTGACATTCACACCAACATAAATTGCATTTTCGGTTATCTGGCTAACTTGGATGATCTCGCTTCTTGTCGTAACCCTCACTGTGGCTGAGGCTGCAGTCGTATGACATTACTGTCATCAGTGCCAGCAGGAAGAAGTAGTTCGCTGGATTTATGTGTAGTATTCAGAGAGCAGGCCAATTTCATTTGGATCGCTGAAGGGAAAACTTTTATTCCAGTAACTGCTGAACAACATTTCTTAGTAGCTCTCGCATTTTTGTTGCTGTCAAAGTATAAAAATTCAAGTTTTGTCTGTATATTCAGCCACGATAGATTAAATCTATTAGACATATAAGACATGTTCTCATTTTGTACCTATTTCAATTATTTGGGGTAGGATTTGGAGGTATTTATATAACGTAGCGGAATGATAAATGTAGGGCTGCAACTAAAAATCATTTTCATTATCGATTTATCTGCCAAATTCTTTTTTGATTAATCATTTAATCTTTGAAACAGTGAAAAATGCCTGTCGAAATTCACCCTCGACTAAATTTAGAAAGTGAACTTCAACAGGCAGATGTTCCTTCTTATTTAATATTGATTTATTATTAACAGCTGTTTTAATATCTGATGCAACATAATCCTAACAGTGTCGGCTCTGATGGGGCTTTGCGCCTTTCCTCCGGTTTCTTGTGCTTTACTTTCAAGCAGCCATCAGTGTGTGTTTTTTCTAGTGGTGTGTAATAAAGACGTAAACAAATGGCCGCGTGGACATATTACTTAGTGGAATTTCATTTATTATTATTCAAGGCTAAATCAAGCATATCTGAACAAGTGATCTGAGGTACATTTTGAGAACTCTTATTTCTGAGCAACACATCTGCATATCTGACTACAGACAGAAGGACGTCTCGTGTTACCCTTACAGGGAATGTTAATAGAAAATGTCACTGTCCTAAAGTACAAAATGGCCTTCATACAGAATAGTGTAAGATATTGTTGAGTGAATCAATGATCAGTACCAGAAACTTACTTACTTTATTGGGTGCCCCAGATTTTCTCTTTTTTTCTTCATTCATCTTTAAACAACTATCTCTTTCTTATATCCTAAGAATTGTTATTTATGCCAATTACAGGCCACTGACGCTCAATGCACAGATGAAGAGGACTGTGCAAGAGACTCAGGTAGGGAACAGGTTCAGTGTTACATCTGAGTGGTTACATGTCCTACTGGTCAACAATAGAGGCTGTAAACCCTCTATATTTGATGTGGAATGAAGGCATGTTTCCTCCTCGTATCAGATCTTATGTGGGATCACAGCATGGAGGCCACACAAACCCACGTAGAGTGCTGAAAACCTTTAGCTGTCTCGAAGCATGACGATGTATTGTGGTTGATTATCTGCCCCGAATACGAATTGAAAGACGGCACTTTCACCATGTAGCTCCCCGTCGTAGACATTTGTTAGTAAACTAGTCCCAGTCTGTGATTCAGACTGGAAAGATGGAGTCAGTGTGTCAGAGACTGATCAGAGCCAGTCAAGTGTCAGTTCTATGATTTGACCACAGGGTGGCACGGTTTCCTTCAGCAAAGTCTCAGCTTCAGTCAGTGGGGCTCAGCAGCCGGTTGGTCACAGTGGAAGGCACATTCAGCATGGCTCAGGAGCCAACAGGCACATTATCAGGACAGTATACGTGTGTGTGTGTGTGTGTATGTGTGTGTGTGTTAGATCTTGGGCCTCCAGCCCTGTATGAACTGTGTGATCTTGGTGACATGGAGTCGGCTTAGGTGGAAGTCATGTGACAGGATGTCCTCGGTCAGCTGCACCAGGAGGCTGCCGTCGATTCGCTCCCTCTGGAACACGCCCACCGCCGCCTCTGACAGGCCGATGAACCGCAGGCAGGCCGACACCTCCTCCAATGACAGCACGGACAGGTCAGCGGGAGGCCTCCAGGTGGGGTCGGGGGACGGGGACAGCCCTTCAGTGACCACTGCGGACGTCCCACCGCCCTCTGCCCCTCTGGAGGAATCTGTCGTGGGATTGGCGGTGGGCTCGGGTGAGGGGCAAGGGGACTGGCGGTTGAAGGGGTTCAACGCCCCGAAGGGAGCAAATCGACTCTGCGGAGGTGGCGGCCTCAGTCGAGGTCCGGAGGAGGTGAAGGAGTCCACCCATGGCTCGGCCCAGGTTGCCTGTGCTGGCTGAGGATTGGCTGTGTTGTCTGCAGGGATGGCAGAGACCGGCTCGGGACTGGTAGGGTTAGGGGCCGGGCAGTCCGCCCAGGAACACGGGTAACAGTAGAGGGAAGCATCTGGAGAGGGCGAGCAGCTGGGACAAAGCATGATGAAGTGATGTTAGCTTCTGGTATCAGTCAGCATGACTCATATACATTATATTGGGTATAGTTTATGGTTCCCATTTCAACAAGTCAGTTCCTGGTACGCATTTATTTTGTGATTTGGTTAAAACTGGGCTCAACTTGGTTGAGAAGCTTTTTCAATAAGAGTTATAAATTATTATTTCAACAGTATTTAAACTGCGATATTTCAATGCCAAACAGGTCCTAACTACATCTTGAAACAGTCATATTTGTGTCAAATAATCCCACCACAAGGCCCCTTAGGTAGATACTCGGGAGCTTTCGATCATAACACATGATCGTCAGCAAATTGTTTTTTGCCACTACTACGCATCCGAATCTCCAACCAAACTGTCGGCGGTCTGGTTGCACTCTGGGTAATGTAGGCGGCAGGTTTTTGACAAGCTAGAATCAAGTGTGGCACAAATAGGACGACATCTCTGGTCCAGCTTGAGTCCGACGATGTTATAAAAGTGCTCGATGGAGAACTCGTTTCAGTGACACGACTCTTATCTGAGGGTGCTATATGTACAGTAGCTATCAATTTATTATAGCCTAAGTCATGTGTTAACCTGGGATCCAATGGTAGCCTCTATCTAACAACACTAGTAAATCTATTTCTCAAGAGGAAGTTGCTATTTGTCTCTGTTAACGTCCGTATATCATATCAGGCATCACAGATGAGATTTGGGGAGATTTGATTATTTGGTTACATTAGCTTAATTTGAGCTGGAAGGACATCAACCGCTTTCAAAGTAAAACATGTCCAGGCCCCAAAAAAAGGCTGACAATCCTCTCGGTAATTATACAGATAATTCCACATAATATAATAATAATGAGTCATGTCCAGACTAAACATTACCTATCCTGAAGTCCAGAGGAGTAGAAGGAGAGGTTGGGTCTCGGGGAGGTGGAGGTTTTGGGGAAGCGAGAGGGGACAGGAGGGCTGGGGACCGGACTGGAGATGGACCCTCCTTTAGAGCAACGAGGGGGAACCGGAGGGGCGATCAAGTAGCGACACTCCTCTCTCACCTACACACAAACACACACACAAACACACAGACAAATGAGAGCTACAGCAGCAAAAAAAGTTAGCTCCTAAAACTTGACTTCTCAAGAGGCTTATTGGGAGTGTGTGTGTGTGTGTCTGCTGGCTTGTCCCAATGTTCTGCTTGGTAAATGTCAAACTTGGTGACCTTTACACCTCAAACAAACTCCGTCACACACAGTAGCAAGCTATTCACACACACACACACACACACACACACACACACACACACAAACTGTGTCTTGGCAAGCTAAATAGCAGGGAATCAAGAACGCTGTGTGTGACAGGGTATAATCCAGCTGCATTGCAGACATCAACACCCACACGCACTGCCATGTTGCTGCCATCACTTTAAAATAAAAAGTAAATTGAACAAAGCAAAGCGTGATAATTCCCCCCTTACAAACACAGACGCCATAAACACGATACATAACATCTTATAACATCTTATATAGAGGAACATGAGAGCCTCCAGTTGAACGTGAGAAGCATGAAACAATATGTGGATTGAGAACGATGTTAAGAATGAGATTTTTCAAAACAGCCCTGAACTTACATGTTTGGAAAAGTACAAGAGTAGCAATCTGACAAAGACGTTTGTAAATAGATTAGCTCCTTACTATCACTAAGTGATGTAACACAGTGACGTTATAACCACATATTGTTTATGGAAACCTGTACAGTTCTAAATCCTTAATGTCTGCTTCTAACAGTGCATAATGGAAACAAATATTTACAGGAAGTGATGCATTTTATTTTACCAGGTAATTTAACATTTAACATTTGTGGTACTTTACTCAGTTTCACATGATTGAAAAATGAAATATCTTGAATATTTGTTGGACTTATTTGTGATACCAAAAGAAAACGTAATACACGACAAAATACTTTTCCTTCGAAACATAAATAAAAATGTAGTTTTGTTGTATGGGAACGTACATTTTTAGGAGACAAGTCTGCAAGATACCATCTTGGCCTCTGGGAAATTGTGATGAGCATTTTTTTCTCTTTTTCTGACATTTATATGAAGAAGAATTAACAAATTGAAAATAATTGTGACCTTAAACTCCCCTTGTTCCTAATATAAATGCAGAATAAGTCGCACCGCTTTTGCTTGAACAAATGTGAGACAAGCTGGCAATAGCAGCAACAGCCAACATGGCTGAGCAGACAACAATATGTTGTGTCACCTACAGAAACTAAATCTTAATTTCACTGAAACTCTAAGACAAAAAAAGACAATCTTTTGTTTTTTGTTTTAATCAACAGAAATGGTTGTTTTAGGGCCATCTTTTATTGTGAAATCAATATTAATTTGGTCATTCTTAAGACCAAAGACTCAGTATTTCCGCCACGGGGCAGAAACAGCCCTGTGCTATTTATTGAACTTCTGTATTCCAGCATACAGGACACATGTACTTTCCTTCTTGGTGGTATTCATATGTATGAACTGTGAGCATACAGACTGTTCCTTTCCAGGAAGTCAGTGTGTGCTTGTGTGTGTGAATGTGGCCGGTGAGGTTTAAAAGCTGTAATGTATGAATAATTCAAACCAGGCATCCTGACTTTTAACAACCGGATGCTGCTGTGGACAGATAAGAGGGAGACAGAAGGTCGAAGAGAAGGACAGGAGGTGAAGACTGAAACTCACAGCTTCTGATTTTGGAGGTACGGGCGGCGGGGTGGACACTCTTGTCACCACGGTACCAAGAGAACCATCCCATGAGGAAGACGAATGAAAGGAGATGAGGTTCGGCTCCTTCCCCAAGCCCTCTGCGTTCTGATTGGTCCAGAGTTCCTCGTAAGGGATCTCCTCACTGGTCCTCATTTCAGCCTCAGTCCACTCGGGAGTCATATACTCCCGCTCCTCACCTGGTCCCTCCCCAAGCCGCTCTCCAAGAGAGTCCCTGCAGCGCTGTGATAGGCTGTCCGAAACCCCACCCCCATACCCGCACATGGAGAGGCGCTGCAGTGCCGGCGCCAAGGAGTCCTGACCCGACACACACATGCGAGAGCGCCGCGGGCTCACGCACTCCTCTGTCATACACTCCAGCTCCGGCCGGGTTTCTCTGACAGCCCGGGAGTAGGCATCTGGGTCGAACGCATGTCGCAGCAGAAGGCTCTCCAGCGCTGCCGCGTCGACGGAGGCCTCGGCCACGTTGAACCGGGGCATGCAGCGCAGCAGCAGGAAGTGGGAAGGGGAGACTTCCTGTCGACGGAGCACCATGCAGAGCACCACCGTCTTGCTGACGATGTTGAGCAGCTTGTAGCGGTGGCCCTCTCGGACCGCATGGCGGTCGTAGGGGTTCCGCGGCGGTCTTGAAGGCACGGACACATTGACGGGGAGGCGAACCCTCTCGATGATACTGCGTACCGTGTGCTCCCCACCCAGCATGCCTTGCTCCAGAGGAGAGCGTGTGCAAAAGTGTCCACGGCAGCCAAAGGGCAGGCTGACACTCTGATTCGTGCGATGGTTCATGCAGACCAGGCATGGAGTTTTACCTGAGGGGGCAGAGACGGAGAGGTGGATTAGCCAGGGGTCAGAGAGTACCTGAATACAGAGTAAAGGTATGGTCACATTAGTCTTATGTTCAATGATATTCCTCCGCACTCATCCCAGAAAATAGACGTTCTGATGCTGCCACAGAATGTCACTCAATAGTACTCAACAGTTTGGCCTTACGTACTTCGAGGAGTCTTCCCTAGGCGTCTCAAGAGTGCGCTCAGTCCCGTCTTTTCCTTAGAGGGCGTGGCACAGAGAAGCTCCGCCTTCCCCATGAGTGACAGCTCATCTCCAGCCTGCAGAGTGAAGCTGTAGGGCTCACTATCCTCACTGAACTCCCCTGACACCACCTGCAGCACACACATGTATGGACGTGTGAACATGACCTTGCATGATAGGAACTTGAAGTATGACATTCTCGTGTTCCTCAAACCTTGACACTAAAAGTGATCGTCTCCATGACAAAGACCCGGTCAGGGAAGACTCCAGCGACTTCCTCCACACTGGAAAAATACTGGACCGGATCCCTGACGTCCCGGTCTTCATCCAACAACTTGAACTTTCCTACAGAGAGGATGGAAGCGGGACAAGGGAACGAGACGAGAAAGGTGGAGGAGGTGTACAAAGGGAGGTAGAAAGATGGACGGAGGAAGAGGAAGTAAGTTGGAAAAGGAAGTGGAGGAAAGTTCAGAATATGGTGAGGGAGCCCAGAGGAAAGAGGAAGATGAAGAAAGGAGGGGAAATTAGAAGGAAGGAATGAAGGAGGGCAAGGGAAGAGGGGAGGAAAGGGAGGAGAAAGGAGAGGTGAAAAGTTGTTTTTGTTCTGTTTCTCGTTTCTCTTCACGACTCCCTGCAGTCCACCTCAAACACATCCGCAGGAGACACTGTTTGGATGGGAAGAACACAAAGACACCTCCGTGACCTATGACCTGGCACCAGCTCTCGGCCAATCGACAGCCGACGGGGTTGGCATGGCAACCAATAAAGGACCCCCTTTCTCACGCAGAGCAGAGACCCATCACCATGGAGACACTCGCACATACACTCACATACTTTCACCCGTTGCTCATCCCCTCAAACCAGTAACTGTGTTTGTGTTTGTTAAGCTGTACCAGAGAACCTGTTCAGGAATTCACAATAGGCTCCAAATCATCCTTGTTTAAATGACATTACCCTTTCTCCTTATTTACCAGTTTATCGGAGGGCATTTAAATACTGCAACCCTCGAAGGATTCTCACAGAGTCAGAGTGTTTGTGGGAGTGTGAAGGAAATGAGACATGAAAAAGTTTTCTTTTTTTGTCCGAGAGGCAGAGCGGAATACCAAACTCCCCCATCCTCCTCGCCAGCACCTCCCCCCTTTGCTCTCCCCCTGTTTCTCC